GAGCACGTGGAGTCACCGCTTAGCCGTTTTAAGCTAGTAAAATTACTATTGCCCACACCTACTATCACGATGGACAGGGGCATAGCCGAGGCCCTCACTATAGCCTCCAGTGTGTCGGCGCTGTCCCCGTGGGAACCGGCGGTTATTATGGTGACCACGAAATAGTGTTTCCCATTTTGAAAGTTTTTGGTCAACGCCAGCACCTCATTGAGTACGGGCGCGAACTGCCGGCCCCCGCACGACGACAAATGGTCCACCAGTTTAAGGCCAGCCCTATAGCACCGGCGCATGTCGTCCACGCCATCGCAATAGGGAACCACTGAATCGGTTTTCATGTTAAACGCGTGCGACACGTGTCGGCCCGGTAGGGGTCGGGCCCCGAACCCGTACATGACATACAGGCCCTGGTAGTCGTATGGGTGCAGCACTTGACCCAAACTGTCTATTATGTACTCGAAGCAGTTGTAAGGAGCGACGGCACCGGTAGTAGTGGTGGTGCCGCCGGTAGTATTCACTACTATAGGCCGTTGATGGTAGGACTGGGAGTCGGACGTGCAGTCGACGGCCGCCACGAAGTGAATCTGAGTGCCGGCGCTCGACATGTAGTCGACAAACGTGGGCACCGACCGGAACTGGAGTTTACTGACCAGTAAAACACCGCAATTCGTGCTCTCATTAGCCCTACTCCTCAACAAAATACTCCTCCTTTTGGACGCCTTTCCCTCCGACCCATCCGTAGACCTCTTCGTCGACAACTGGACGCCACTATTCGTGATGTCTTTCCCCAGTCGTCGCAACTCAAGTACGGCAGCGCCTGCCGTCAGCTGACGGTTCAGGTCGTGTAGTGACGTACTGACGGCCCCTATGAAGTCGTCACTCGTATGCCGGTCCCAGTCGTACACCGCTAGGCGTAGGCGCTTGTGGTGGTCGCCGTCGCACAGGTCGTGCACCCGTACCGTAAACTCGGACCACTCGGGCGCCAGTGTTTTGTGTATGACTTCCGTGCGGTGGACGGGAGTGTAGGCGCCGTCCGTCGACTCCTTACTCACGACTACGTACGGGTCGGACGACCCCAGGAAGTCCTTCTGGGGTAGGGTTTTTGCGGCGAACTGCATGCGCACCGTCTGTTTGGAGGCCAACACCTGTGCTCACAGTGAGGGGACGGGTAAGGGAAAGGCATGTATTAATTAAAAATCACATGTAATTCCCGTCTCAATGGCTGACTTCATAGATGGTTAGCCAGAGTTCGCCCGTCACTTGAAACGAATGGTACGGCTGTTGAGCGTCGACAGCGCTCGCGGGCGCCGGTAGTCTGAGTCGCTTCTTAACCACCGGCTCCCGGGAGGCTATGAGCGCCGACACGTCCACGTCCAGGTGGCCGAGTAGCTCGTTGTCGGCGCATATATCGTAGTCCCACACCTCTAGCCTCAGTGTCTGACACTCGTTGAACCGGTAGTCGATGGGCACCCGTACCGTCCACTCCGGGTTACGGGTGTTTCGGATCACTTCCGTGCGTCCAGTTTCCGAGTATTTCTGAGCGCCGGTAGCCGATAGGGTCGACACGTGTACTATACATTGCGGCGAAGTTTTGTTCACGTTTTTGGTGACAAAATTGCGGCCTTTTATACATAACTCGAGTAAAGATTTATTAAAAGACATAATATTTGAGGAAAATATTTGTATTTTTATTATAACTTATAAAACAAAACATGAATTTCTATTACGAAATATATTTAAAAATAATACAAAAATACAGATTATAAACACTTATTAAATTAATATTAAACTAATGCCTAAAATGAGTAAAAAGTAGAAATATTTTTGTGAGAAAAATGCATTTTTGTCGCACATTTCCCGGATATTAGGCTTTCCGTATAAAACAAAATGTTTTATTTTTATAACAATTTTATGTATAAATATTTTTAAGTGCATATTAATGTTTATAAACCATGTGATTTGAACCGTATAAACTTTATATTATATAGCCAAATGTACCGGATGTCTCACGCATAATTGAGTAAGGTATTTTAGTTTTTATTTCAATTACTTATGATTTTTATCACAGAAAAGGGTGGAAATCATTGAAAGTTCATTGGAAAAGACAATTGTATTTAAAGTGAGGTAAAAATCATACAAATAACACATAAAACTGTAGCAAAAATGAAGTCTTAATTGTCATAAAAAGTATTAATAACATAACACATGCAAACAGTTGTTTGACCCGGCACAGACATGGAGTTAGATGGTTATATGCTTATAGACAACCAAGCGCATACAACTTGCCAACACCATGTCTACACTGGTAATTAGATTTGCAAACTATTTGTCACTTATTTAATCTAATAGTTTGAAACGTGTAAATTATAATCTAGTTTAAATTAGCCACCAAAATTAGGCCCAATTGCCTGGACATATTATGTGCTCACGTATTACTTTTGGTATAAATAACAAAATTAACAGTTAATATAAATAATATTATATAAGTCACAAACCAATTATTTTTGTTTGGAGGTCAGGGTCTCATATATTGCGCTAATACTGTACGTATAGTAGATATAAACATAGGGCCCATATGTGATATCTAGAATTTGCTTCACAGTTATCTTGGTCATGTCATTCTCTAACACATGGCACCGGTAGTTGATTTGGACGCACGTGCCCACCCGTATTAACAGATGATTAATTTTATAGTAGCTATTATATACAAATTTGCTATTATACGTTTCTACCTAGCTCCTTTAGATTTACCTGAAATCCTTGTCTGCAAAATTGCCTATGGCATTAATATTAATAATAGGACCTCGGTAATGATCGATACGTCAAAAAATTTGCTATACCTTTAACTTTAAGATCCCGTTTAGATTTTAAAGCTATCCCATCTAGTTTTTGAGATATGAGCCTGAACCTCTACCAGCTAATGGTGAAACACACTGTAGTTGTTTTGATTCACAAAATTGTTAATTTGTTTAAAATTTTTGTGAATATTTTTTGCGATTTAATGCTAACTGTAATTCACATAAGAAAAAGTGTAGTTTAGTGAATACTGGTATTGTTAGCACAGGTGTTCACTATTTGATAATTTTTTGAAAGGCTTTTAATGTTAATTAAATTTTTAAATTAATTATTAAACAACTAAAATAAGCTGAAATTTATTATATATTTTTTCTTAAAAAATATTTCTAAATTAGTATAACTTATGAAAGTTAATATTGAATATAATTTCCTTTTATTTTTAAATTTGTAAAATTTTAATTTAATCTAAAAATATTAAAAATTAAATGGGGGTACACTTCAGTAGCTAATAATAGCCAATCGGTCACTTACCTGCATAATATATGTAGATATCCTATATATTTAAGTAGTATAACTTCCTATAAATATTGTAATTACAGTTTGAAAAGTTTTATCACAAATATTAATATTTTTATAACATTGAGATTGTATTGTATTGCAAACATATTGTATGAATAAGTTTTTATTTTGCCGCTACTTCTGTAATTGATGTTGAATTTAGCAAGTAGACTTAAAATTAATAATTAAAATACTTGAATTGCTTCTGGGTAACTTTAAAAATGATATTTTCGTCGAATTATTAACAAGCTTAAATATTTTAATATCAAAATTCCGATTTAACATTTTTTTATTAAAAATAATTAATTGAGAAATTATACTAGCAAGCAAATTGTTGAAACACAATTGGATTCAAACATTTTTTAACACAATTTAATTGTAATAAATATTTGAAATCAACATTTTATGTTTAATTAATTACTATATTATTCGCGTTAAAATGAAAAATTATTTGAAAGAATTGAATAAATTTTGTCGTAATTAACGCTAAATGTCTTATTTCTACACAAAAGTGGTTCTCTAGACATCACATCCAGGTGTAGGTCCTGTGCCAGTCTAACGGCCCTCTCATTCGTGCTAATCGTATAATAATAGTAACCATTTTTGAGCGCATTTTCCGACAAATTAATTAACTCCTGAACCACACGTCTAGCGATCGCATACCCGTCCGCATAGACCGGGCATAACGACCCGCAGTGGGCGCTGTCATCCCGTATACACCCGTAGCCCACCACACAATCCCTGTCCGCGCACACGGCCACCACTGTCTCACATCCCGGTTCTCTCAGCGATAGCTCCAGTAGTTTAGAGCGCCGGCAGCCGTGTATATCCCGATCGTAATCACAGACTTTCGCTAACAAACTATCGCTAAGTTTCGACACAAACTTCACGCCATTATTATAGCCGTCGATACGATTATTATTGACATCGCCATCACCTCCCGTTCCCCTCCGTCCGTAATAGATGTGCAACTCGTGTCCCGTCTCTACCCGAAAGCCCAGCCTTTCCTTATATAGGAGTTCCTTTCCGGGCACCGAAAACAGGCAGCAATCCCTGTCCCCTATGTATGCCATCACCCGAGCGAACAGTTTTTGGCCGATTCCCGACCCGAAGTACTCCCGACGCACGCCATACAGGCCTATGAACGCCGTGTCCGGCCTCAGGAACGGACCCCCGCAGCACCCGATCACCATATCTAATGACAAATGGTGTATAAATTAGTTTTTTCATTTACAACCTCCCGGTGCTGTCACTCAATGAAGTTTATGAAAAGTTTTTCAGTTGTTTTTAATTAGGAAATTTTTTTTTGGTTTGTTTTTTGTCATACCATTAGTGGTATCGATGGCCACGTAAAAGGCCTGACTGTCCACCGCTAGGAATGTCTGCACGGAATGTGTGATCTCGTAGTAGCCATGACTGGCGAACACATCCAGCGCTTGCGAGACATCACTTTTGGTCATCTTTCGGATGATCACTGAGTTATCACTGGTTTTGGTCATCGTTTCCGACAATTTGCTACAAATTCTTGACTTTTGTTAATTTCACTCAACGATAACCTCTAATCACTTTAGTGTTATAAACTCGTGAACCACTTTTCAACTACTGTTCCCCTCGTGTACTGTATAAACTTTATACTATAAAGCTACCTAGCACAGTATCTCACACAAAATCACTATCTGTAAAGCTTAAAATAATTATATTTATAAATAATATCAAATGTTTGATAAGAATATTATCGCTAAACAGTTATTTGATAGCATAGGCTATTAATAATGAATAGTGAATGCAATACTGTAGACATTAGTTGGTTATAATAAATTGCTATCACAAAATTAATAGTTATTTTATATCCCAATTCCCTATACATTATCATTGATTAAACTGTTAAATTTATAATATTATTAATAGCAGATAATTATGCGATATTCTGGGGCTACATGTGCTCAACGGCTGATAAAATTGATAGTCAAGTGTTTGCACAGAGACTGTCTGTCTGTCACATAATAAGTGAGAGATTTTATTACATAACACTTTTGCAATAAATCTCATTATTTATATAAACTTTTAAGTTATTTAAACAAATTCTGGAAATTAATGCAATTCTGGTATCAAAATGCAAAAAATTCTTGAACTCTGTATTGCATTACTGATATATACAGTACTTATTATTATACTTAACACACAGAATTAATTGAAATAAAATACATTTACTCAGCCTAGTATCTAATCACTAAATTTAATTTAATTCAATCGCAAAATAATAATTAAATATAAAACTAATTTTTGCATAAGCATAAGCGCACAAAAAACTTTTACTTTCATTAAAAATTGCATTTCCAATGCAAAGCAATTAATATATGACAAACTTATTTGAACACACAATTCAATGCATTTCACATAAATCCACAGCATTTCTACAAATAATTACAAACAGTTTTCTATCAATAAATGAAAACAAATATTAAAATAAATCAAAACTAAATTAACAAAAACCGGGGGGAGTTATATGGGCATAGATTTTTCACTACTCCCCCCAATGCTCCCCCTATTCGGGGCATAACATTGTATGCATTGAGTCATTGGCATTGACAGGAGAGTACCGGTAGTACTGCCCTCTAGTGTCGAGCGCCTACACTTTAACTCTCATACGAAATGTTATCGTTTGATTGCATTATCGTAAACAACACGTGAAGTGAGTGTATATTTCGCGGCTTTAATTCACCGCACATTTGACACCCATTTAGTGATTACAAGAGTTGCGGCAAAACTCAACCACACCTGTAGTCGCCCTATAGTCGTGACCACGTGTTTGCCACTCGACTCACCACTCAATCCGCACGTCATAACCACTTTCACTTGTGTTTTGGTCCACAATTACCACTCATTATATCGTTGGATCAGCTAATTGTCACCCAATTGTGTCCCAAACCACACGCACACCGCACGCGAATGTATCACCAATGAGTCCCATTGTCAACGATATGGTACCGGAGCCCACAGACCCACCACCGGCACCACCCCCTCACCAGACCCTCCGGCGCTCGGTATGCATCCAAACGGGACGGCCGGCGCTCTGGGAACGAGAGACCCGGCGTCGACTCGAGGACATCATCAACCGGGTGCACGACGAGAGTCGGGACATGAAGTTCAAGCACCGGGTGTTTCGCTGCCAACAGCCCGCGTGTGGCTATAATTTTGTCGCCCAATCGGCGCTCGACGAGCACCGGGCGATCGCCCACTCCGGCGGTGGCGACGACGGCCAGCACCGGGAGGTTAAGACAGAGCCCGCGGACGGCACGTGTCCCGTGAAATGCGAGACACCGGGCGGTGGGCCGACACGTGTGAAGCGCCGGAAACTCGCCGCCGATACTGAATTCAAATGCGATTACACTGACTGTAAGCGTGGTTTTCAGCTTAAGAGTAGTCTGAAGCGACACGTGCTCACATCGCATCCCAACGCGGGCACCTATACCTCCATCAAACCCAGTGCAGCCGTCAACACAAACACAGATACCGGTGCCAAACCTCCTGCGGACATGCGATACCTGACGATCGGTCAGTACATCAAGAAGTGCGACAAAGGCTACGAGTGTCTGTTTGGCGGGCAGTGCGGCCACCGCTGCGACCGCATGAGTCGTATCACTGAACACATTAAGGTTCATCATCTGAAGATCCGGTCCAATGTGACCATAATTAAGCCGAATGTCAAGCGATTTAAGACGTTTTCGGTGGCGGCGGCGCTCAAGAGGAATAGCGCGCAGACGTTGAGTGGTCAGCGCCCGAAGGCTAAGCCAGTGGCCGATCCACTCATTCACAGCCATGGAGTGGAAAGAGAGGCATCGGATGGTGATGAGGAGGAGGGCGCGGCGGCCGTGGATACCGGCGCCGCCAATAGTCGCTTCAAATGCACGTACAGTGGCTGCGAATACGGCTCCAAACATAAGTATAATCTCGAGCGACACGTGCGTAGACAGCATCGAGAGGTAGGCGCCGATGGTGTCGATGCAGTCGCCGAAGAGTTAGACAAATCCGACGGCGAGACGGACGGCGTCTCGAAGCCCTTCGTATGCGATGTCGACGACTGCGGCCGCGGTTTTAGCCACTGGCGAAGTCTTCAGCGACACTTCCGGAGAGAGCATAACATGTCGGCCGCGGATATATCGCTCAGATCGCCGACCAAAGCCACGAACAGTAAAGTAGCCGTTAAACCACATCCCGGAGCCGCTGCTGATGGTCAGCCACCGGCCGACCCTATCATCGGATACGACGACACTTGGGAGCCGATTGTTGCCAAACAGGAGCCGATGGACACCACCGCTGAGTCCGTTGATAATCAAGAGTTGATGGACACGAGTACCGGCGCCCACGCGAAGCGGTTGACGTGCGATGTCTGTAATACTGGCAAAGCGTATAGTAGTCTACATAGCCTTCGGCGACACAAAGCGACAATGCATGGCCTCCCATACAATGATAACACCAGCACCGGTAGCACTGTTACGCCTAATAAGAGCACCGGTAGACGAAAAAAGGATCCCGTTTCTGATAAACAGCCGCCGAAAGAGACTATCGTTGGACACAACAATTCGGAGCCCATTGTCGTCAAACAGGAACCGATAGACACCACCACTGAACCTATTGATAATCAAAAGCCTGTGGACAGTAGCGCTGATGAGAAGGCATACCAGTGCCAGTTCCCCGGCTGCGTGAAGGGCTACGTCTCGAGGTATGGCCTTATGAAACACATTAAGAGTATCCACAAGAGAGACGACTCGCCGATCAAGTCGCCCACCAATGGAACCGCTTATGTGACACCAATGGCAACATCTACACCGCTAATGGCAGCACTCGTACGAGTGATCCCACCGCCGCCAGCACTAACACCAGCGCCGGTACCTATAGTCCCATTACAGCCGGCACTAATAGCAGTGCCGATAGGGCCGCCACCGGCTCCCAAACCGCGGTCACCCATAAAACCGGGTATTTTCATACCGAAAGCCCGAATGGGATTCGCGAATACGAGTCAGCAATACAAATGCCAATTCAGCGGCTGTGACAGGAGTTTCTTAAAGCTGCCGAACCTCCAGAAGCACATGTATGTCGAACACAAAGCGGGTGCGCCGTCAGTGGGAGGGCCGCCACTGCCGCTGTTTGGAAGCGTAGGCGCTGTTCGGCCTCTATTAACCGGCAGTCCGCAGTCAAATGTGTCACAATTGTCGCCAAACACTACCGGAGCGCCGGCCACGAGTAGCAGCCCGACCAAAACGGCGCCGGCGTTCGCACAGTCGGCCTTTGGTACGCAGTTTCTGTCGTTCATTCAATCCAATCAACAAAACAAACCGCAAAACGTGAGCACAAGTCCTCCGAAGAGCCCGAAGACCGCGAAGAGTCCTAAGAGTGCGCCCAAAGCGGCGGTCAACTCGAGCCCCACCGCCGCCGCGCCCCCGGCCGACGACTCGTTGGATCAGTACATCCGGAAGTACGACCAGGAGAACTTTGAATGTCTGTACGAAGACTGTGGACAGCCTTTCAAGCGTAAGGCCGCCATCACCGCTCACATCAAGAGTGTTCACCTGAAGATCAAGCGATTCAAGTGTACCGCCGACGGCTGTAGCTATGAGTCCGCGCAGAACAGTCATATGACCCGCCATTTAAGTCGTGTCCACAAAACTGGTGGCGCCCAGTGATGATTCAGCAGCCATTCCCTTCATCCACTTCCACTCGCGCGCCGAATGACTTAATTTTTATGACTTTTTTTGATTTCGTTTTAATTTGTTTTCTATTTCTATAGTATTTCTCAAATGCGAGTGTTTTTTGTTTGTTTAGATACCATTTAAAATGAGTCTTTAATTAATAATTTTTTGTATTTAATTTTGTTGTCTATTAATTGCGTTAATTAATGATAAAGATTGAAATGAAAATAGTGTATAATTAAATAATTATAAGAAAATTGTTTCATATTTTGTATGACTGAAAAATAAATCAATAAACGTGTTATGAATACAAAAACTTAAATTAGTTTTTCATTAATTTATATTTAATTTTATACATAATTTATAAGATAATTATAATTTTAATAGACATTTATAATTTCATAAAATTTTTTTCTCAAATAAACATTATTTATACACAAAGTATTGATTGCATAAACAGATAAGGAATTTCACACATAGTATGCAATAGTTTACTAAATCAATAAACATATCAAAAAACATTTAAACTCATAATAAATCATAAAATAATTACAATTATAAATAAATTCAATCCACAATTCACTATAAAAAAATATAATTGTAATCAAATCAACTCCTATTGTCAACACATGTACCACAAGAATAATGGATCCAATGGACACCCCTTTACTTGAATTCTGTGTTAAATTGTTTCAAAAGTTATCAAATGATGAGAAAAATTTGGTTTTCTCTCCGATATCTATCACCACATGTCTTACCATGACTTTGATGGGCACCCGGGCTACCAGTGCTCTGGAGTTATCCGAATGTCTGTTCGCTAAACCCATCAAAAGTGACCCGGAATTCGAGTCCACAGCCCAGCGGTTTGCCAAACAGCTCCGGGAGGCTATGGATGGCAACCAGAATGGCCTCAAATGTGCAAACTTTCTGTACACCAGACAGGAGTTCCCGATTTCGGACCAATTCAGACAAATTGTGGACAAGTATTTCGAGGCCACCGCTCGGGAACTGGATTTCCGCGACGCGAGACAATCGGTGGACACAATCAACGCCGACATCAGGAGCGCCACGAATGACAAGATCGACACAATTGTGGACCAAATATCGGGTGATATTCACGCGATTCTCGTGAATGCCATCCATTTCAAGGCTCTCTGGAAGTCAAAGTTTCCTAAAGACATGACAATCGCGGATCAGTTCGCGACCAGCGCTGGTCAGGAAATACCGGTGCAAATGATGGCACAATTGGGCTCAAGAATCGGGTTCGCTATGAGTCGGCACCTGAGGGCCAGTGCCGTGGAGTTGGCCTACGAGGACACCAACGCCTCACTCATTGTCTTATTGCCAGACGAAGACAATTCTGTAGCCGAATTGGTCCGCAATCTGACCGTACAGTCGCTCCAGGAGCTGATCCACAGTATACGCACTCGTATTGTGGACCTGTATCTACCGAAAGTCAACCTACAGACCACTCTATCCGATGAGTTGATCCCTGCGCTCAAGGGACTGGGAGTTCGCGATGTGTTTGACGATAAAAAGGCCGACTTTTCGGGTTTAACCCCAAAACCCGGTCTCTATATCTCGGATATCATTCATAAGGCGGTGATTGAGTGGTCAGAGGAGGGCACAGAGGGGGCCGCCGGCACCGGTATCTCAGCGGCCACCAACTCCATACGCTTTACGTTCAAAGCTAACCGTCCGTTCCTGTACTTTCTGGTCAATAAAAGTGCCGACAATCTGATCGCTAGTATTGTATTTATGGGTCAATGTATTAATCCTAACCTTTTGTGATAAAAATCGTGACTTTTTTTTGCTGTTATAAAGTATTTAACAAAACTTTTTTTTTGTTGATTGTATTTCTCAATAAATTATTTTCAATAAAAACCTGTTTATTAACTAAATGTTTGTGAAATGAATTGTGCGTCGAGTGTATGGGACTTGAAGTTTAAGCCGTTTTTAGGACTTTTATTGTTTGCTATAAAAAAGTGTATTCATATCGCGAGTGAACTTATAGTGAACTCTCGTATAAAGTCTAACTTTTTACTAGTATTTCAAATACATTACATAATAATGTCTGGAGTTTATGCACTTATCTATAGGCGTGTAAAGTGTAAAACTTTATTTTTGCAACAAACCTATGTATTACTAATTAGGCATTAAATGGAAAAATTAATTTTTATCAATACCTATACTCGTAAATCAAAAAAGCCTACAGTATTTGACTGATTAGAGCGCACCTGTATGTCACCTGTATACCGCACAGCCAGTAATCATAAAAAATCATCAAAAAGTGGCCAGGGTCATGGAAAAATTCCACACAAAAAGTCCCAAACTTTAATTTATAGCATAAAAAACTTAAAACACAACTCAAACTGAAAAACACTTCTCAAAAAACACTTTTCGCACCAAAAACTCGTTTTACGCACACATTTATGGACACTAGACGTAGCCTATGGTCGACCCATACGATAGGCACTCCACACACAGTCGTTGTGAGTCAGCGTTTCCGGTGCCACCACTCAGTCGTCACTGTATTTGTTGTACGGTTTGTGAGCATTAGTTTTGGTGACTATTTTGGTGCGGACTCCACGACACACTCCGTTACTGTTAGCCTCCACTCGACACTCGCGACACTATAAACCGAATTTGTTGCCGCATTACTCGCATATAATCGCCGCAAACACCGCTCAATAGACCCTTCGATTGTATGAGTCAACCAACCAAAGAGAGGCCTACACTACAGGGTCAGCGCATTAAGACCAGGAAAAGAGGTAATTATCATCACCACGAGTGCCACCAATCAGTATGACCTATGGAGAGTTAGGTCATGACCTCCAGTTCCCCTCTCACTCTCATTATCGCCGATGATATCTGTCTGTAATCACGCGACTAACCAATACCTCCAGTTCCTCCCCTCACTCACCAAATGAATGTCTTTACCACTCATTATCTACTGATAGCCACAATGACTAACCCATAGCTCCAGTTCCCCCTCACTCTCGCCGATGATATCTGTCTATTACCATACGACTAACCCATACATCCCGTTCCCCTCTCACTCTCTCCCTAAATGACTGCATTAACCACTGATTATCTACTGTTAACCACAATGATTAACGCATACCTCCAGTTCCTCCCCTCACTCGCTAAATGAATGTCTTAACCACTCGATCAACACCACACATAACACACACGACTGACCCATACCTCCCGTTCCCTTCCCGCTCAACGAACTATCTTTACCACTGATTATATCTACCATTAACCACAACGACTAACCCCTTTACCTCCCGTTCCCCACTGTCTTCGCAGATGAAAAGGAGAAGTTCGACGCGAAAGCATTTCGTGACGCAATCTTCTTGGGCATCGACTCCGGCTCCGGTGATCTCGAGCTGCTCTCGAAGTTCTTGGACACCTCGAAGCTAGACTACCGTCTCTACGGCGAGACCCTATTCGACGTACTCATCGCGGGAGGCCTACTGGCGCCGGGAGGCACCATCATCGACGAGCCCGGGGATCAACAGTCCCGCACCCAGACGTGTGTGTTCTGTGGCGGCGCCGACGAGGAGTCGATCCGCGCCTACGCTCAGGTGATCACGAAACTGATCCGCAGATACAAGTTCTTGGAGAAGACGTTGGAGGAGTCGCTGAAGAAGATCATTGTCTTCCTGAAGGCGTTCACTGTGGATGAGAGGGAGAAGTTGGCGAAGTTTTGCGGCGTTTTGATAGCCGGCGCCCAGATATCGCCCACTGTGTTGGCCGCCACTCTTCAGGATCATCTCGTGAAGGACGGCATCGCCGCCGAGTTCCTGATCCAAGTGCTCCGCCTCTGGCAGTCCGATAAGGACGCGACCCAAGTGTGGAACGCCTTACGCAAGTCAGGCCTCGAGTCGAAGCTATTGGTGAGTGTGTCCGATGGGATCAGTTGGTGGTGATGATGATGGGATCACCCATTGATTGATTGATGCGTTTATGTTTTGTGTGCATTTTTGGCCTTAGTTTTGGTGTTTAATTGTTTAGTGGTTTTTGAATGTTTTATAGATAACTAATTTTGCAGTGCTTTTCAGTGATACACCAGTGATTTGGTGATAATTACGGGCTTTTTGTGGTATTTTTTGTTGATTTGGTTTTGATTTTTAAGTTTTATTAATTAGTTTATAGTTTTGTTTTAATTTAATGTCCTTTTGAGTGGGTTTGCGGTTAATTAGTGCTTATTTGGCGACTATTTATGACTACTTTTGTTTGGTTTTTAATGATTTTGTTTGTTTTAACTTTTGTTTGTTTGCGAAAACATAAGTTTTCATTGAATTTTTCAATGCTATGAATCGTATGATTTTGTTAACATTTTTATGTTTTTTGTTTATTATTTGTAAACAATTTCTAAACATTTTCCCCACGATTTGTCTAAAAAATGATGACTTTTTAAGTATTTTTATGATTTAATTAATGATTCATTGAATTAATGGATCGATAGGTCTGACGATTAGACAAATCCTGTTGTGTTTTAATAGTCTCTCTCTCTCTCTCGCATTAATTTGTGTTTTAATTTGAATACAAATTCAATGTTTGTTTTTCACTCTCCAATACTTACTGTGTTTTTGTGTCAATTAAATGCTAATTATATTTCTAATGTCAAACCCATTCATACCGTTCCCATTGAAAGGCATTTATAAATCATTTTGTTATTTGTTTCACGAGTTGTGAAATAAGTTTTTACAAATTAATTATCAATTAAACTCAAACTAATGGTCCGTTTTCTATGATATGACAGGACTTCTACCCGTCCTCTAAGCGCACTCAGGAGACCCTATCGACGGCGTTCCTGTCGGCCGGACTCACGCAACTCGTGGACTACCATAAGGCGCAGTTGGGCTCGTCGTTCAAAAAGGACTTACAGTCCCGTCTCTCGGAGCTGATCAACGAGAGCGCCTCCACCAAGGAGTTAATCGCAGTGGTGAAGGAGTCGGTGGCTAAGTATCAGATACCGGAAGCGGAGGTATCGGTGCTGCTATGGAATACGTTGATGTCTGCCGTCGAGTGGAACAAGAAGGAGGAGCTGGTGGCCGACCAGGCGGTCAAACACCTCCGCGGCTACAGTTCCCTGTTGGCTGAGTTCACGAAGACTCCCAAAGCCGAGTTGGCACTACTTGTACGCATACAGGAGTACTGTTTCGATAACATGAACTTCTTGAAGGTGTTCCAGAAGATTGTGGTTCTCCTCTACAAGAGTATGGATTCATTGTTACGTTTTTTGAGGGTTAGGTTAGGGAAAGGCATTGATTTTAAGTTTAGCTTTTTATTTATTTTTGTTTCAATTGTCAATTAAGTGATGAATATATTTATAATTTAATGATTTTATTGATTTAAAACAAAGGGACGTAATTCTGATTAATTGACATTTCAGTGCTAACTCTCTCTCTCTCTCCCTCTCTCCCGCATTACTAACTGTTTGTATTGATGCCAACAGCGGACGTCTTGTCTGAGGACGTAATCCTCAATTGGTTCAAAAAGGATCACTCGAGTCGAGGAAAGGGACACTTCTTGGAGCAGATGAAGAAGTTTGTCGAATGGCTTCAAAACGCTGAAGAAGGTATGCATTCAATTGATTCATCTGTTGATCCCTTTCCCTTCACTAATGGCGGTTAGCATTGAACTCATTGTTTTTAATACTGTACTGTATTATACCTATGAGTTGTCTGTTAACTAATCACACATTTATTGAATTGATTTTTTTTGTTTTATTATTTCCCGCAGAGTCTGAGAATTCGGATTAACGTATAAAATGATATTTCTTATGGATTTTGGATTTGGAATAACATGTGGGCAGACCTTATCAGTGGAAATGGATTTTAACGATAACAATGACATAATTAATTAACAAAACGATTACAACATTTTTAACAAACATCAGTAGAAACTCCTATTAATTAACTAATTGTTTAACAAAACATTTACTCTTTAATTGTCTTTAGTCTATGAAATCATTTATTCATTAAAAACAACAACTCTTTGTGAACACAAATTCATACAAAAGTTTTTTCCCGTCGATTGTCTTATTCGCAGAGAAAACAAAACTATTTTTGTATTAAAAATCTATTGAAAAACTACTCAAAAACAACAAATTTATAGAAAAAAGTTGTACTGATATTACGGTACAGGAAATCATATGAAAATCATAAAAATGTTTTGATTTTAGTTTTGATTTTGTTTTGCTGTTTCCATCACTTGATTAGAGGATATTTAGTGAACAAAGCATTTGAGAAACAAATATCGAAATGTTTTTTCTAAACAAATGATTAATTATTACATTAATTGATGATTGAATCACATAATCAAACCATTTATGAATAGTATTGTTTTAATTTTTGAATATATTTGTTGATTCAATGATTGAATTTATATATAATATATAACTTTCTCTCTGTATATCATTATATCTCTCGTATATATATATTAAAAGTCTTCGGTAATAAGAAATGAGTTTTATTTTTGTGTTTAAAACAATTGTTTTTTCCCTTCAATTGCTCACAACATTTGAAAACATATTTTTTGTTTTTCATTCCCGAAACCCAAACACAAGTTGTTATGCTTTTTGTCATGTATTCAGTGATTGTCGAAACATTTCTATCTATTCGTATCCATTAGTACTTCCAATGAGTTTACATTTCTATTGAAATTAATTATTTGTTTTTTTCTTTAAACGAGTCATTTGTAGGTCTCTCTCAAGTCTTATATACAATTCATTATATATACCTGTGCTCTGAGGTTACATACAAACAATCCATACAATTATAATAATACGGTAATAACTATACATACCTATACATACATCTAATATTATACATGTATTTACATAACATACAGTACAATACACACCTGTATATCGCGTTTTAATCAATCGATTATAACAATTGCCTATATATTGAGAAATATTTTTGTTTTTTATTACTATTAATATATTATATAAGAAGTAATGAAATGAATAAAAAGTTTAATAATAAAAATAATAAAAAGATGTTTTCACTTAACTCGCGATTCGTGTGTTTGTTAACTAAACTTCAGCAGTGATTACGAAATATACCGGGTTAATCTACCATTTTAATTGCCAATGATTGGGCATTAATGACTGACAATGACCCTGATACAATATTCAATCGCTTGATATAAGGTAATCAGTTTTATTATTCATTATGTTTATCGCAATACAATAACAATAAAGTAAAAGATCCCACGTAAATTTAATTAAATGCTAACAAGTAAGAAAATATAAATAAAATATACATTTCCTAATAAATAATTCATTGGATATACGGAATATTCTGTTATAATATTGAGAATATTCTGCATAATAATTAATTTAATTGTCGGAAGTACTATATAAATGCATAATTGGCTATTATATAACTATAAAATGTAATACTAGACAACTCGTTTGCACCGGTATTTACCTGTACTTTCAGTCACTTTTATCACTTATATTTACTTGAATACAGCGTTTACCTAAAGTATTAAATATTAATTNGGCTATTATATAACTATAAAATGTAATACTAGACAACTCGTTTGCACCGGTATTTACCTGTACTTTCAGTCACTTTTATCACTTATATTTACTTGAATACAGCGTTTACCTAAAGTATTAAATATTAATTAATATGTCGTAAATAATTGGGGAAATATTTTGATATTACATTTTCTGATAGAGAAAAGTCAAGTCCCTTAACATGTGATCACATTGTGCTGAACGTATGGATCAATTCATTAGGAATTCATGGCATATAAGCGAGCGTTTGTTAACAGATTCTTATAGTTTTATAGCTCTCTCTCTCTCTCATCTGAATGTTAACTGAAAAATAAACATTACTTTAATGCAGATTAAGAAATTGAATGCAAATTATAACCAAAAAACAAAAGTCAATAACAGATTAAATGAATGATAATAAATGGCAATAAAATTATTTAAAATATAATATATTATAATCAATTGAAATAAGAAACACAGTAATGTAAATATTTTGTTAATTGTCATCAAAACTATTGTAATATTTATGAATAATTGTATTTTATTTATCTCTATTAAAATGACTATTTTATTTTACTAATTAAGAAGTTTTACTAATTAATCAAGTCTATTAATTA